ATGTTATCTTTTTATTATTAATTAATTTTTTTTTTTTTTTTTAAATTTAAAAACATTTTTATACTTGTATGAATGAACATGCATATAATACATGTATATAGAATTTTGAAAAATTTTCATAATTTTAATTTACATTTAATACGTATTTATATTTACATACTAACACATATACAGATGATATAGAATTTTCAAAAATTGTATTTTTGTTTATCTTTTTTTTTTTTTTTTTCAAAAGTGAAAACGTATTTTACTTATATACAAAGTTCATTATATTAAGTATTCTAATATATTATAAATAAATAAATAAAATATATTTTAATAAAATGCAAACTATAATAATACTATACTATACTATATGTATATTATATTAATATATAATATATTATTATATATATATTATATATGTATAATATATTATACATATTAATGTATATGAAATAATTTTGTATTAATTTAATTAATTATCTTTCTTCTTTTCTATTTTTAATCTTCTTTTTTCGTATAAAACATAAAAACATATTGATGTATAGCCACGCATACACATATATATATATATATATATATATATACATACGTACCATGTGAGTCACTAAACAGAAAACAAAGATGTCACCGGAGTGTTCGGTTTATTTCAAAATTTGCACTAACGTTTATTTCACTTAATACGATTGAATATTATAAAAGGTTGTATATATGGTTAAACGTTAAACGAGTTCTACTTTAAAATCAAGTTATTTCTGACGACCGGCGAAGAGAGAGAACAACACTGTCGAACGATCGTAGCGAGACCTGGTGTCAGATACGAACTGACCCATCTCTCTCTCTTTCTCTCATTCTCTTTCTCTCTCTCTCTCTCTTACCTATCAGCTTTTCTTTGACGTAATGTCCTCTCTCTTTCTATCTTTCCTTATACATATATCTTATTATCTTTCTCTTTCTTTCTTAGGGTTGCACATCTTCTTACTCTTTCTTTCTTTCTTTCTTTCTTGCTTGTTTTCCCTCTCTCTTCAACCTATCTAAATAACACACGTGTATACGCTGCCATTGTTACATAACCTCGATATTCGTCGATATTCGTCGATTTTCTCGAATCTTCGAACAAAATCTGACCAATCAGCATCGGAATATAATTGAGCTTTTTCCCGCCATTTTTTTTATCGCGCTTTTTTTTTTTTTTTGAATATTTTACCGAAGAATTACGAAAGTTTTTTTTAACATAAATGTAATCTGCAGAGATTTCGAAATATATATATATATATATATA